TCACGTTTGCTGCAATCCACCAAATAACGTGGAAGGAGAAGCAGCGAAATAAGAAAGGAGACTGTGACCGTCAAACAGTCACATTTGCTGCAATCTACCCGTAATGATTGAAGATAAAGGATTTTGAAACTAAACTCCATATATTCATTTAACGTAGAAAGTTACAAATAATTAATGTAATAGAAAAACAGTGACTCCAGGCGAGGCTTCAACCCGCGGTTCAGTTTGCAGCGTTTTTGAAGTCGGGCACTTAGCCGCTGCGCCATCGGTGACTGTGGGTATGTGACTAAATATTTTCACATATGAAGGACATAGTATAGTGTCAGGCAGTTGTGTTAATTTAATTTTTTTAGTTTATATATTATTTTGCAGAATGTAGAAACACTTGAAATCTATAATATACTTATTTAATAAAGGAAATACAAAAATTCAAAGTATGAGTTACTTTTTCACGAAAAAAAAAAGGTTTTTGATTTTTTAAACTACAGCGCACCCTACTAAAAAATTTCAAAAAAATGGTGGATACTACTTATGATAATATGTTGCTACTGTGAAAGGATAAATGTGGTTCCGTTAAAACTTCAATAAGGAAAAAATATTTTTCCTCATTTTTGATTTTTCACAACTAGGATACTCAACTCAAAAATCGCAAAAAAATCTCTAACACGCGTCCAGGTAAATAATATCTATCAGATTAGCAGAACAGCTGAACAATTAAATTTCTCTTTTGATTGTTAAGCAATGAACCGGAACATAACCAAGATCCAGCATATTAGAGGAGCACCACAAGACACACACCAGTGTCAGTGTGTCTTCGACCCCCTGATGAAGCTAGCTGCAATGCCTGCGAAACGTTGGGAAAGCAGTTCCACAAGGACACAACTTACACCCGAAAGCCTCAACAGTGAGAACTGTATCTAATTAGATTTTTTACAGAATTTTTGCACTTCATTAGACAAGGAAAATAGAGGAAGAACCGATAATCCGAATTTTCCATATTACCACCCTCTTGGTCAAGATAGAGGGTTTAAACTTGGCCCAGACTGTTGTTTCTTGACAAGTGAACGAATGGTATATTAGAAGTCCAAATCGGTCTAAGGGCACTTTTGACCCCCTCATCCTATTATACCCTTTCTCTACAGTTACAGTTACATACCATGCTCAGCCGCGACTAATGGAAAATCCACGGAAGAAATATTTTTCGGTCGCACCATAGGAACACCATTGTCAGTGTTGATGCCAAAAATCACCACAGTTCCTGCCTCACGCGATACCAGCGCAACAGTTATTCGCCATGTTAGTCGGATATGCAAAGGAGGTTTGAGTATTACAAATCTGGGAAAATACTCACTGAAGAATACAATTGGAGACGACGAACTAATAGTTACAATGAACAAGGAAACGTCATAAACCTCAGCACTGGTGGCAGATAACAACTAACGAGTCACAATGGCAGAAGAAAAAGAGGTATATGCTACTCCACCTCAAGAGAAAGTGGCAACAATACTGGATCCACATCGGAAATCGTACACACAGTGGTCGCACTAAATTGTAATTACGAGTTTCATTTTTTCTGCTTTCTTTTCACAGAAGGGGAGATGTTGGAAACCCAGTTGGATATACTGCCGAAAGGCGCTACTAGCGAAGGCGCCATGATTGCATCGCGAGTTGCATTATTTATACTCGGCGCCCACGAGGCTTGAGGAGACCCTCACAGTGGGTCAGTTCGAAGAGTTAGCTGTTCATTTGCCAAAAAATCAAATTCCTCATATCGATGTTTAACGAAAGTATATTGCTTTCTAAATATGTATCACATTGGAAAACGATGAATATAATGAGATATATTAAAAATTGTAGTTAAAACATGCATTTAAAGATCAAATTTTTATAAATACCATTTTTCATCGAAAAAATTCCTTTTTTTCGTTTTGATGCCCCGGAAAACCTATTAAACACTATGTGTCCATGATTTTTTTTTATAAATAGTATATGTCTATATTGAGAACGCACCTGGATTACCCCACCCCATAAGTTATTATTGTATAAAGCGTCGCGTGACACGCACTTCAGCGGCGATTTGCGTTGCACGAGACTCGTTGCAGACCACACTTTCATAGATTAATATTAAAAGAAGACCTCCAAGACGATGATGATTCATTATAGATAATAAATTTTAGATAAATAAATTAATACATTGTAAAGGTCTAGTAAAAAGTTTATTATCATTGTTAATAAGAATAATTGCATAGAGTTTTGTTTATTAATAGACAAATAATAAATAAGAGTTTATGAATAAAGAATAATGAAAATGACAATGCTTTTTTTCTTTACAAGCTGAAAATCCGTACGGTTAAGTTATTATATTTACTAATTTGCTAAAATATAACACTTATTTTTGTTTGAATATTGTAAATATTTTCAAGAAGAAAATAATCATATATTCTTCTTGTCTGATTAACTGTAATAAAATTCATTGATTCAAGAATTATGGATTACTCTATTTGTTTGAAAAGTCTGAATAGCTAGTTTTCAATTATAATTCACTATTCACATGTCATCGCGATTTTTAAGGCATTTTTGATGCTCTGACAAAAGAATGTTTCCAACAAAGATTAATCAACACTTCCTGTTCTACAAATTCTAATATAAAAAATTTTAAAAACATTTTGTTTGATAAAAAATAAGGTCACCTTGATTTTTTTATGGTCACTATATATTTTTTACTGAATAATATTATAGCTGACGTCAAGACAAATTCAACGACCTATATATTATTGTCCTTAAGTCTTGAAATAATGTTAAAACAGTTGTGAACAGCTAATTCTTCGATCTTAATTTTATTATAGATAAGCAGTCTTCGCGGCCACCTCATACTATATAAACACACTTGTTGCAAACCTTCGTGGTTCCAAATATATGTTTACCTTAATAGTTATTAACAATTCCATGTATTATTTAATACCCCTCGCGTGAGACTCAACACATGTATATTTATCACTTAAAAATAATAATAATTAATGTTTTCGAGGACTTCGAATAAACCTGTAATAACTCTTTTGCTCGTGCCGTTATTTTCCTACGTTCGGGGAGAAACGAAATCTCGCCTCGAGCCCTATTCGTTTATACCTATCCCCATCTTTATTCCAACTATACCTTCGCCTAACAGAATAGTCAAATCGAAATTGATGATAATAGGAAAGAGAATTTATTTGTAAAGACTGGCGTTAAGGTAGGTCCACATACGTACAACGCGCATTGCAGAACACACTTGAAAGGGTCAATTTTAATGGGACGACGCGCAGCTAACGACTTCATGCAACGTCAAGCCGAACACGAGCATTCTGACGCGCATCGTAGAAAATCGTGTGGCGCGTGTAAATCGGTCAACGGGCCCTCACTGTCGATGATACAGGAGCGATATCGCCGGAGTAGAGACGACTGTGTCACCCCGTCCACCATCGACAGTGATGGCCCGTTGATAGATTTATATGCGTCGACACGGTTTTAATAGCGCGATTGTTCAGAGCGGCACAGCCTTTCATTTTGTGCAGCGAGAGAATTACCCTGTATATACTTTATTTACGAAAATATTATAAATTATTATAAACATTACTACTTACTTCCATTGTATTAAGTCAGCGTCGAGGCATGTCCCGATTCGACAAGAATATCATATAATTGTAGAAAAACCAAGTACTTTTATAAACCTAAGTAAACAGTGGACGGGGCTTTCCTTTTTTCGTACATTTACCTTTAACACAAAGCTTCAGGTAACTGGGTAATTTATTTACCGAAGGAACAGTAAGTAGAGACGATGACTGCTGCGCTTTTTCTTGCCGATTCTCTACCTGACTATTACTTCAGTAATAAAATTGACCTGAAATTTTGTGTTAACAAGTAAATGCATGAAAATGGTCATTCGAACAAAGTTATGTACACGTAGGTGTAGTAACAATGTCATAAAGCAAGTGATAAATGAGTATGTGGCTGTCATATATGACCATACAATCTCTCAACATTTTCTCAATAATACGATTACATTATATAATAATGTAAATCTTTATATATAAATATATATTATATTTATACTATTTTAATAATACATATTCAGATGTTATTAATCCATTCAGCGGTTTATTTTTCACTACGGATGGTTTAATTCAAGAAAAATAGAAAAGCTCTTTCCAATTTCGTCAACGATGCGCGCCGTTTCCCTTTCCCCGTCTTCACGAACATTTGCACGTTGCAAATGCGCGCCGAGTCGTTAAAATCGACCCTCCTTGAGGGTCTTGAGTGGAAATTCTGTTGCATGTTGCTTAAATGTGGACGGGATTTTGGCCGCGCGCCGTGTTGCTCATGTTCGACTTGACGTTGCACGAAGTTGTTAGCTGTGCGTCGATTTATTAAAATCGACCCTTCCAAGTGTGTTCTACAATGTGCGTTGCACGTACGAGGACCTGCCTTTAGGCCACTTGATTTAAAGGAATATGGACATAATTTTTTCAAATGTTTAGACCCTAGCACCCCTTGGTCAAATTTGCAAAAAAACATTTGTTTCTAATTTTCCATGTTATGAAAATGATATTTCACTTTAAACAATTGATTCGAATGGGCCAGACCTTCTAAATGAAAATAAATGAAAAATTGACTCAATGTGATAAAGTTTCCAAGATAAAAATGCATAAGTGCACCCCGGTTTCACGAAAATTACAAACTTTGACGGTCTACAATTTCACATGGACTACGACGTGTTTCATTTTGAACACAATCCCTGACATCGAGTGCAAAAAGTAATCGATTTGGCGTGGAATAACCTTTTATTACATTTCAAAGAATTTGATCAATAGTAAACATTATAACTTGTGATTAGAATGTATTTCATTTTTTCCACATACTATACATGACACTTTTTCAGAAGACATTTGCTGCATGATAATGTTTAACAAGTATGTTTGATTAAGAGTTCATCGTGTTAATTAATAATTTATTAAGAATCTTACTCATCTTCGTAGAATTTACTCCTGTAGAAATTATTCTCAGAATATTAAAAATTGTCATCATTGACAATCCAACGAATGAAATCGCACTGTATATAATTTTCGGACTACGCCAGGTAAACCTGATCAAATAAATGGACAATATAGACATCATTACTTTTAATCATTATAACATTGTTTTATTTAGGCTTACGGGAATTGTTCAAATATACATGAGACTTTTATTGTACAAATTTATTGGACGAGTATTTTAGTAAATTTGTAGTGGGTTATCCTTTTACATAATATTCGTTGAAATTTATGTACCCTCAATGAGGGAGTGGAAACCAGGTATTATAAAATTTCTTTACTATTAGCAGTTTTTACACATATCTCCATGGAACCATAAAACGCCTGATTCACTTGGTTGTTACATTTTTTATCGAAATGTCGCCTCACAAATTAATATCGAATAAGTGTTTTAAATTGAAAAACATATGGTGTATCATTATAAACAAATAATATAGAAAATGACGGCGGAATTTGGTATCAGCATTGGACAAGTGAGTTGTAACCATACAGGTTACATAATATACCAACGCGACTTAGTGTAGTAACTCTCGTAGACAGACCGAATCCCCACTACCGCCACAGTTTTGCGACACGCAAGCGCTATGTGGATCCACGAACGTCGTGCGAGGATCCAGGAAATTCCTGCGTCCCACCTAATTACCGCGAATGCGTGCGCACCGATCCCCACTCAATCACAATGAACGGAAATCGATGCGAGCCCGTCGATCATCACTCTACGTCTGGATTCGAAAAAATATAAAGTATTTGAAAAAAGTCTCCGAACTTTTGCGACACCCTGTAAACTGCAGGTACGTAGGAAGTAGAGTGACCGCCCTACAGATTCGGCTTGATTTCCTCACTTCCCATAAGAAATAGATAAAAAGCACGGTTACAGAATTTGTGTTTGATCTGCCACTGAAACAGGCGATTGTTAAATATTATGCCTTGAACACAATTGAATAATGCGAGAAACACATATTGATAAAATTTTCTCTAACCGCAGTCGCACGTGATGTGTTGGTAAGAAATTCCATCTACAGGATGAGGAACCTAACTTGATGATTTCAAATGACTTGTAAGTTACTGCTGTACGAACAAATGTTACAAACAAAAGTTATTTGGTTTCAAGGCGAACGTGTATTAAAGTAATTATTGTTTTCTATATTGTTAATACATACAGTTTTGAAGTTCACCTCGATTTTCATACATGGAACAACCTTATCTTTTTTTACAGAAATTAAGTGAGCAATAAAAATTAAGTAACCAAGTATTGCGGCATAATATATTTAAGGTGAGTATTTATTATGAAAACTGTTCCAATTGTTAATCGTTATTGCTGATACAGACATGTAAGACCTCTTTCACACGACGATACGTGTATCGCGATTGCGTATGATGGATACCGATGGTGAATGTATTACCTATAGAAGCGTTCAGACGGCGATTCTAATCTAGGCGACTGACGTAACATAGAAGCAAATGATACAATTCACTCTGCAGCTGTAGTATCCTTCAGTTCGGTCATCACGTCGTACAGAACTATTCGTATAGAATTATTCAGCATATAGAGTGCAACATTCGATAACGATAAATTTATCAACCATAGTACATAATTTTGCTTCACTGTGGGACAAAGGCATTCTAATTATTCTGACAAAGTGACGAAAGCAAATTCATGGATAGAGCTTCAATCTCATCCATTTTCTCAAAAACAGAAAAATATTGTTAACTGAAGAACAAATGATCGACACCTAGCTACCAAATTAGTCGGATACATTATCGCATGAGGAACTTATTGCGTGTACGGTATACAGGATGAATCGTACATTCAAAACTAAGGCGAAGATCAAGAATTATTAATTGTTGAATTGCGAATTATTAATTGTTGAAAATACGAGTGAAATCGCGTAAAATACGTCTGATATGGCGGGTTATTCTACTTAAGAGAATAGAGATGAGTTTTCAATTATTTGACGAATTCGTTCTATTCATTTGATTTTATTTCATTCATATTAAATAACAATAAAGCTCGATCCACACTATCAATTCGTTCTCGGATCGCTCACGCTCCTGTTTCGGTTCGATCACATCCATAAGTATCCACGCTATCGGCCGCTCATGATCACATACCTCAGTTTATTTTTCACCTTCTTATTATCAAATTCGTAATTAATATTATCCCATTCAATGGCAGTATTTTCGGATGACGAATTGGCTATAATTGCTGTCGCATTGGACGAAGAAGATAAGGAAAGTGGAAAGTATCAAAGAAGAGAAAAAAATAGGTCAATATGAAATCATCCCAGTCTGATGGTGAGAAAAACTGAAGTGGAATATTTCGTATTATATTCCCATTTAGTGGATGATGACGACAAATTTGTGAAATATTTTCAAATGAGTTCGGGTACATTCGAAATGATATTATTCAAAATTGAAAAAAGAATTTCCAAAACAAATGCTGGATTTCGCGAAGCTATTTCTCCGAGGGAAAAATTAATTGTATATGTTTGAAATTCGTCTAAGTCGTTCGCGCACCGACGCGCGGCCGAGGTTTCCCGAGGTTTCCCGACGTCTCGCGAGATTCCGCCGCGCTCCTCGTTCCTGGAAATATTAGGCGATTCGTCGAAATTCAATCCTGGCACACACCTGTATCGCGCGATGGCTCACCGCCAATCACCGAGTTGTGCGAAAAAGGACTCTCGGTGTTCGAGGATTGTCCTACGTTCTCACGCGACAATTTGCACGGGTCTTACGTCGTTGTCATAAAGTTCCTATTGTTGCAAACGGTCAACAATTCTTATCGTACACGCAGCGTACGATATACAACGTTGTATATCGTCAAATAAATGTTCTAAGTATTCGGTCAGTCATTGTAAAACGCGTGTGTTTTATTAGACTCGAGCAAGAGTCCTCCTTCAACCTCCACGCTCAGCACTGAGCGGTCCCAGCAATTCAAAATCGAAAGCTATGGCCAGCCGCCCGTTTCGATAGAGTATGCCGAAGGTAAATATTACATTTTCAAATATTAATATACTTTAATGAATACCAAGCACATCACAAAATGTGAAACTAACATAGTTATCCTTAATCGGTATAGATAGAACAGATCTGTGTACGCCACGAGCAAACTCGGCTTCCATTAGAGGAAAAAGTGGTATAGGAGAAGGGTCTCCTACCACTTGGTAAATTTATTTCAACCGCTAAAATAAGTGTTAAACCGAATGTTAATTTGTCCTAAATTAATAAGTGGTAGGAGGCCTTTCGCCTACGCCACTTTTTCTCCTAATAACAGCCGAGTTTGCACGTCAGTGGAACAATCGGCAAAATAGCCAATCATATTTTCTCGCGTTCGTTATAACATATTCACATTAAGAACTGTTTGCTATAGCATTAGCTCGTTGTAACATCATTCGTTCTAGCATACCCTACTGTATATAAAAGAAGTCCTGACTAACTCATCAACGCACAGTCCATACCGTTGAATCTAGAAATATGTAATTTTAGGGATAGCTTTTCTTTAGGACGTAGGCATTCACTAAGAATGAATTTTTCGAAGTTCAACACTTAAAAGTGTTAAAGATAGGATAAATGAAGAAGGTTGTAGGAATATTCAATATCTCTTACTCCCGATGAAATATTCCACTGCTTTTTACTTTAGAATACTACTTATACTGTTACATACAAATTCCTCCCGAAACTTTGTATAACCCTTTCGAAGCTGGAGTCACATTTGTTTAGTCTATCTGGCGGCAGCTGCAGCGACATGGGGGAGTCATGATTTCGTAGAAGAAAACTCTCCCGCAGGGTAGATTTTCTAGAAGGACCTCTCCTGCAGAGAATTTTTCATGCCCATTTATAGAGCATCAGCCCCACCACATTTTTATCCTACTCTTTGGATATAAACAGGGCTGTTGAACTAGGGTTAGTCTCGACCAAGTCTATGTGAATTTAGATCGAGGTAATGATGTCAAGTACAATTTTAACAGAGAGAATTCGAGTAAAATCTGGTACAAGTCTTTCAAACATTAACCTACAAAATAAGTCGGAAACTAGCAATACAACCCACAAAGGACATCTTTACCGCTCGAGGTGTATCGAATTTAACTAAGTTACGAGGCCAACTAACATTCCTAGTGGTACCCCGTTGATGAAATAAGCATCGGCCTATCCACGAGTCACAATTCCCTATGTGGTACCCCGGTGATGAAATAAGCATTGGCCTATCCACGACTAACAGCAATTTAAATAACCGATCCTCGGCTATAATAACAGCCGGAATCCTTTTTAGCCCTTGGCTCGTAACAATACAAATGCCTGAAAGGTAATTTCAGTATTTTTTGAAATTTCATCGAGAGGGGGTGAAAAGGGGTAAAATTTGTTTCTATGCATTTCTCAACATCTCTCAATCCATATGAGATATTCAACTACTGTTGCTTCAAAATGCTACTTGTACAAATTCCTAAAAATTAAAATATAGTAATAGTGCTTTTAAAATCAGTAAAATATTTATTTGAGAGCATAGAACTTATGTTTGGAGATTTGTATGTAAAAATATCAATTTGCATAAACATCCGCAGTTAGTTATAAGCAAACATTGAACAGGACATAAACTAAGTAATAATGGAATTATCATTCGCATTAATAACAATAAATGACAATAAGTCTTTGCTAAACTACAAAATATAATATCATAAAGGCCAAAATATAATATCATAATATCTTGGCCATATTTACTTCCCCGCTTCTTGATATTCGAAAAATCGTGGATGGGCTGCTAGAGTTGAGAAACGCGTTAACAATCGGTTCAGTTCCAGACAAATTCGATATCGTTCCAGCAAAATATTATTCTCGAGGATCGTTGCTAGGATCGATAGAACCGAGGTTGTAGCGTTATCCATAATGTAAATATGTCCAATCTAAACCATGGAATAATATTTATTCGAACTGAGAGCGGATCGATAGTGTGGATCGAATCTAAATCATCAATCGATCCCGAGCATCAATTGCGAATCGACTGTTCAAGTAGTAGGACGCATCGTTTCAGACCAGAGTTGCCAGAGATAACGCCTCCAAACTCCAAGCATTGAACCTGCCGAAATTTTATAGAGATCTATCATGTTTCGCGTAATCAGACATGTGTACTCTGCACACCACGCAAATATATACGTAATAATATAAATATATACATATGCACAGATTTTTATATTTATGTTATTATGTATACATTTGTATTAAGTTGGTATGTATATATTTACAGTAGCAGCTCGTTTATTGCAGGCTCTTTTATTGTAGCATAGGAATGCCCTTCGCACACACGTATTTCTCACACACGTGCACGCACCCCTCTCTGTCGCCCAGCAAGGAAGAAAAGGGGTACATATGGTGTGGCGTTTAACTCGCATATTTTTCGTCACAGAAAGTGCTATAAACACAATATTGTTTTAATACAATGTTGCAATGCTCGATAACTTCCGTGAATAAACTTTTTTGATATCTCTAAAAATAACGGAGATATTAATAGTGGTAACGGTGATTGAACAGTGTGTATATCCAGCCCACCCTACATGTAGCTATGTCGAACAAGTGAACGAGCAATTAACGGGAAGATCGCGCGGGTGATTGAAGCTCGCTTAATGCAGTATTCCTGCAAATTTGGTCCTTTACTACAGCCCCGAGCGCTACAATAAACGAGCTGCTTTAGGATTTATATAGGGTGTTCCTCTCGCTGCGTAAATCAAAGGCTGTGCCGCTCTATAGAATCACCACGTCGACACGTGTAATCTGTCGACTGGTTCTCATTATCATGACGCCCCGGGGCCAAACACACACACACTGATACGGCGGTTCTTTAGAGCGGCATGGCCTTTGATTTGCACAGCGAGAGGATCACTCTGTATCATGACGTCGCTGCGGATTTATATCATTAATCGCCGCATGGTGTGCAGGGCGCACAAGGTTTGACTGCGCGAGACATGACCCCTAGATTTCTAGAAAATTGTGCCAAGTTTATGGTTTGCAGGCGCTATCGTATTTTCTGCGTGTTGTACCCATATTTTCAGGAGTTATTAGCTTTGAAACGAAACGTCAAACGTAATATCCTCATTCTTGATTTTCGTCCTAGTCTGGCGTGTAGAATCCACCTTGTGAAAGTGTCCGACATATTCATTAACACCCTGTAAAGTAATATTTTATAATGAATAATTAAATATCAAAAATTAAATTTATAGTGTGTAAATATGATAAATGCAATTTAATTCTTTTTCCCCATATGCTCGTTGTACTGTGCGACTGCGAATAATCGACATTGCTTGTCCATGCTGATACCCAACGGCGAAACAATACGAGGATACGCAACAAATGGACACCGCAGTTTATTGGTTATTAACATTGCAGTAATATTGTAAGAGCTTACAGCAGATGATATAATTTTAACTACTTTAAATATTTCAGATGCATTTATATTAATTGGCTGCTCTTTATATTATTTTCAATCCTCTGACTGCAAGTACTTTCAGTAAATTTTAAAAAGTATAATTCGTACATTGTTTTACTAAATTTGTATAGTACTAGTACCATTATTACACGCAACATAACAATTGTTTACACGAATGAATAAAAAACTATTTCGATGTTTCACGATTGTGAGATATTTCGTGGATTTCGCATTATGCCGCTGTATGTAAGTACCTCACAATCATTTCCTGCATTGAAGAATATAATGTATATAATGTTCTTTCTTTTTTTAGGATGGTTGTAAATAAATAAACTGAATTGTTTCTCTGCGAACTAAGGAAACAACATTCAATGTTTATTATCCACTCTGTTGTATAATGTCTTATAATTATGATTTCTTTGGTTATACTCTTGTTTTTCCCACGTGTCTCTCCTCATCACTCGTCATTCTTTCTTTTCTGTTCTGCCTATCGATGTCAGGCTTACCGACCTTTGCTATTACGCGGGATGTTTGTAATGATATTAGGAAAGTGCCATGTACTTTCCTTACATGTATATTGGTAGATTTTGTTTGTTGCGAAAGTGTTGACGACAAATTTTTGTATGTCCGTTTCTTAGCTTTCAAATTAGCAGTTCATAATGTTGTGTTGGGGAACATAGTAATCACTTCCGATTGGCATTAAATGTGAAATATACATAGGTATCGTATATTTCTTACTCAAAAACTTCACTAACAGGGTATAGCCGAATAAGGGGGTCCAAAGTGTGCTTAGACTGAATTTAAATTGTGATGGACCATTCGGTAGCATACCAGGAAAAAAAAATGTACCAATTTTCAACCCTCTATTTGGGCGGTGAGGGTAATGACGGAAAAATCGGATTATCGGTTTTTCTCTATTTTTCCTATTTAATGGCATGCCAAAGTTCTGTAAAAAATGTGGTGGGTGGTAGTTACAGAGGCATGTGTTACAGATTTTTTCCGGCTTTTTAGTTGAAAATCCTAGTTGAAAAAAATTAATAACGCTGAAAAATGCTGAAAAATGCAAATTTCTTCTGGAAGTTTTAAAACGATTAGATGTATACTAATTTCCTGAATATTTTCATGTATAATTACTCTTTCTCATTCTTCTATAAATACTCGTTGTACGAATACTTCTTGTACTCACGATATGTAAAGGGTGTTTGAAAAGTATATGTCACGGCTACCATAGCATTATTCTACACCTGTTGATCGGTGAAGATCTGCAAAAGAAAGTCACCGCAAAACTGACCTTGACTTTGAAATTCAAGGACAACATTTTTTTATTATTGCATCGTATTCTATTCGTCATGGAGATAAAAAGTCTGAAAGAAACCATGGGTCGCAATTCAATCGTTTTCTTGGAAAATTATGATACAGTTGCATTAGCATTCGAACTCACTTCAGTTACAATGTGCTTATATTTTTCAGTCAAATCTAAGGTAAATAGCATCTATTGATGCACATAGATACCCCAGATACATCATTATATAACCCATATCTATATGGGACAACGAACTGTGGACGTTTTATTGAAGAGAAGAAAGATTTCTTTTCGAAGGGTTAGTTCCCTATATCTTATCTATCTACTATAAAACAACATTAGTTGTTAGTCGCCATGAAACTACGACTAAAATATTGTACGATGGACTTTTCATGATGACGTACACTGGCCTTGTAGTGGTTTCATCGAAGAATATTTTGATGGAGGCTGGTGCTTATTAAACAGAAAAATGTTTCTCTCATGGTCACAGAATGCTGCAAACCTTATTGAGTTACAATTCTGAAATACCTTATTACCTTACGTTGAAATACCTACGTTTGATATTTCTATGATTCGTTAATTATATTATGTCTATTTATTTAGTAATCAGGATCATTTGTCATTAATCTTATTAGTTATTCTAATCCATAGTATAATTTTTATTATCATATAGTAAATTTTACTTTTAACACTTTTTCGAGTAATTACGGTCTTGTTTGTACGAATATACGAGGTGTGTTAGTTAACTTGATCACCTCGAATAAGTACTTAACGGTATACATTATAAAAATTTTGAGGCGTCGAACTAAAATGGCATCAAGGTGCACATTTTATTAAGTACCGGCTTTTTTGTGGATGGAGGCATTTCAGAGAGTTCAAGGTCACCTTGATTTTTTTAACGGACTGACCTATTTTTTGTACCACAGATCGATAGAGTATCAAGTTCTGAATAAAAATGTGTTAACCTGCAAACGTCATAAACCTAATAGTTAATGAGATATTTACAAAATAATCACTATATTGCAGTCACTGTATTGAAGTTCAGGGGCATCTTTCGAGCACCTACATATAGCTTTCAGATAGTAAGTACCTACTAAAAATTATTTTGTAAATTTGTCGTTAACTATTAGGTTTAGGACGCATGAAGGTTAACACATTTTTACTCAGAATTTGATACTGTATCGATCTGTTGTACAAAAAATAGGTAATTCTGATAAAAAAATCAAGGTAACATTGAAATCTCTGAAATGTTTCCACCCACAAAAAAAGCACGTACCTTATAAGATGTGTCCCTTGATGCCATTTAAGTTCCACGCCACAAAATTTTCATAAAGTCTACCGTTAAGTACTTTTTCGAGGTGATCAAGTTAGCTGAGACACCCTGTGTCTATACATATATGTATAGTACACTTGCTTAACTCTGGTCTCCCAACTACATAAAATGTGGACGCTGCAAAATGTATTTGTGCATTTGTTGAACAGAAATAAATTACCTGAGATACGACGCATCTGGAGTGTTAACACCGCATACAGGAAAGATGGAAAAGCATTGTGCCAGCATAATGATTGGTCTCATAGACGCGTGCAGACTGTCAGCTTGTGGATGGAAAGTACTACCGGAGGGCATCGCTGGTCCTGACACTAAACCATTGAATTAAAGTCTTACACAACTTACATAATTTAGACAAAAGTACATCTGAAGGGTTAAAGTAATAATACAAACGAATTTCTTAGAATTAGATTAAAAAAGAAGTCTCATTTTTCAGATCGTTGATTACCACTCATAATAATTTACAGTATTTTTTACATGCATATATGTATAAGCTTCTTCCTCTTGAAAGTTTATATTCTAACAACTTTTACAAGTAATAACCCTTCTGATACCATACAACTTTCGTGCGTAAAAGTTGTTCATTCCATTAGAAATAGCGAAAATGTTCTCCACAGAGGGAATTATTTGTAATTACTTCATTTTATTTAACTAATTACCAACTTGTTTAAAACAGCAAATAATTGATATCAAAAACAATAAATAATAAATGAAGCAAAGAACAAATAGATGCAAATACTAATTAAGGGTAAGTAATTTTATCGAAACAATTAATTAAATCAACTTTCCCCTGATCTGTATTCAATTAACTTCCATTGCTTCCACTCTCTGGACAGCTTCCGTAAAGACACACGTACATAAATATTCTTTAAAAATCGAATTCGTTTAATATCTAAATTGAACATTGTTTACCAAAGAAAATGGAACACACATTCTCTATGTTTTAAGGGGTTAGTTTGAAGGATATTAATTATAAGGAATTTTATTATGACACCGTCAAAGTTTAACATATTTGGCACCTTAGTTTGAACTAATGAAGTTTCATACATTACGAGTTTATCTGAATTGGTAAAATGTTATGGTAAAAGAAAAATACTGCAGAAATGTGCAGAGTGCGAGAGAGAAGAGAGTGGATTATGTCAATGCCGATCGTATTTTTAGTAGTCTTTTTCTAGCAAGAGAAACGTACGGTATAGAAAACACGGACGGCATAATTTTGAGGAATTATATTAATGAGTTTAATTATAGTATTACGTATTGTATTTGTGAATTTATAAAGTTAAACTGTTAAATAAATTTGTTATCCTGTTTCTGCATAATTTCATTATTTCTGATCCTACACTAATAATCTATATGCGAGAAACTGAATATTCGTAGCTGAACTGTCGTACAGCGATACATGACTTTTTGACCAATTTTACGTAAAGTATAATAAAAACTAAAATGTTTACAAATTGTGAATGCTTCTATGACTCATTATTTATACGGTAGATATCTACGAACTGAACCATTTTTATATTGGTATCAATTTAAATAAACAAAAATTAATTAGATCATTACTTCTTCTATTCAGGGCTTAACTCTATTAAAAATAAAATGAAAACATTTTTATACGTCTATCATAAGGTTTCTCGCTGAATTATGTTGCTACACATTCTCCCATACCAGAAATACACAAAATCTGCGCTTCACTTATTACAAAACATAAACTCGTAAATACTGTTTATCACTTACTTTCAGTTGCCTCCAAATTAGACTTCAGATTATTGAATTTGTGAAACTGAGCACCGCCTTTGGGAGATCTGAAAATTCACAGCTTGTTACACAAAAAAGTTCGTCTGCATTCAAATAATGTGCAGGAACACGGAACAATTAACCAGATACGATATACCGAGCAAGTGCGAAAGTTTTGATGGATTTTGTCTAAAAAGGGTAGGCTGTGTCATGTTACTAAAAATGATTTATTTAATCCCCCTTGGTTTCTATGTATTTTGACAGTTGCTGTAGTAACATATGAATCCCTCTATCATAAACGGTACCTGATTTGTCTTGAAAACAGAAAAGATGTAGTTTTTAAAGGTTTCGAAAGTCTACCATTTTCTTCCTTTTTAAATTGTTAAATTCAAAGTTTACCCTAGATTGGGATTCACATGGCAGCTCCTACAAACAAATCACAAATAATTTGGACGGTGTTTGTAAGGTTTATTCCTCTATGAAACTTGTACACCGTTATGACACGGAAAAGAAGACCATGGAAGCTTATTTTCGAATTGATTTGAAAATAATTAAACTCACACAATATAGCAAATTTTTTTATCTAAAATAATAATTTAGTATATTATATTGTCATCGATACATAACACATTAACAAGATTGTTTCTTCTTTCCACGAAACCATAGCAATAGTATCATTAGCAAGAAATCCAACAAAACTTTTCCACAGACCTAATAAAATTTGTTTTTCTCTATAGAACGTTGTGCGTTGTATCGACAAAAACTACAAATTTTCACACGCGTTATTTGACCTATAAAACAGTAGATATATGTTATGTAAATTAACTCAAATACGATTGTTACCGCGAATATTTAATCACATTGGCCTATGAAACTTCAAGGCGCGTTACAATCGATGATATGCACAACACAGGATCGCATAGCGAATGGAAGATAAACTCATTATTTCAGAGCTTTATCGTACCTCGAGAGTAAAGGGTGGTGGGCGATTTACACACAGCGGAAGCTCAATAAATGTCTGTTTGTACAACCATTGCAAATGACAACTATATCGGAACTCATGAACGAGTGTAACATCCCCTGATGGAAAAGATTTGTTTTCAATTATAGTTGAACAAGATTTCTATTCATGTTACTTGAACATCTTTAGTGGTATACACTATCGAGTGACGGAGATTTTAAGACAAAGATCTTGTAGACAGCATTGAGAGAACAGTAATGAAATATTTGGTTTGATGTAAATTAATTCCGTGTTCCTGTGAATTTATAATTGTGAAATTGATCTTTATTGTTAATACTACTTCTCTTGTACATAAAAGATAAAAAACCCAACATGGAACTTCAAAATAAAATAAAAACATAGTCCACTTTTGTGATATATAAATCGTTCGTTTTTGAAGATAACGTGGTACAGGATAACTTAATCTTTATAAATAAATTAAAAAATGGATAGTCAGATAGAAGATAGTCAAAGAATTTAATATATTGAAATATTACATTTGTACGAAATAAATAATGAAATATAAAAGCAAATTAGTGAAAAATACAGAGATCCAGATCGTTTCGCAACAAATCGTGCACTTTATGGATTAGATGTTAGAGATTTTCATGAAATTGAAATATGATATATTCCACGTAAAATTAGAGGGAGTTTAAGTCATTCTTCTGTAAATATTTAGAATAGCACATGTAACTTCGATGACCTTGATCTTGATATATGATGCCATGGTCATCTTCCTCAGTGACCTTCAGAAGATTCTAACTGGCGCTCGTTTTTTATCCAAAAGTTATAAACACGCAATGTTGCAAAATGTAGTAGTTATTTTGCGTTTCGAAGGACTTCAATGACCTTGACATATGTTGTCAGGTTTGGGTTAAATTTTTCCCGGAGTAGGACCGCAGTGACTCCGCCCCTCTCCCGCTCACGCAATCACTTAAAGAAGCAAATATGCTAATAATATAGTGTTTATACTATGTACAATTTACATTATGGAGTTAAACATACACCTTTATATTGCGACTTGATTTGTTACTAACTTTTTAACAAAAAACGAGTGTCAGCTGAAATACTCTCAAAATCACTCAGAAAGATGACCTTGACAACATATGTCACGGTCGAGGTCATTGAAGTCCTTCAATACACAAAATAACTGCTATATTGTGCCAATTTGTTGTTTATGACTTTTTAATAGCAAACGAACGACGGCTAAAACCTTCAGAAAGTCTTTAAGGAGGGTTACCCTGACAACATATAGTATGTTAAGGTCAAGGTCGTTAGAGCTGCCTCCCGTATCCGAAATATTTACAGTGATTTAGTTATAGTTAATAAATATCAGTTATAAATGGTCGAAAGATACGTAATTAGAATACAGTCTTGTTGATGCATGTTTGATTCGTAAAGCGATTATGGAAACCAGTAAATACGATCATATGCTCAATTCATCCGGAAAGATGAAAAGAGACCACATTAAACATTGAAAAGGAACGAAAGTTTGGTTCTGTTTGAACGTTGATGGTGTTCTGATCCCTGGGTGATCTGACGATCGTTCAGCTTTTGGTGGAATGTGTATGTATTTACTGCTCAGACAATGAAACAAGTTCGACGGACCACCTTTCTCCAACGAAGAAACAACAAATGGAATTTGTAATAGTTTACTTGTTTAGAGTTAACATAAACCGTTAACTTCAACTTTTTTATAATAATTACTTATTGTGTTTTAGAATAAATTATTAAAGATCAATCTCTTGTTTCGTTTACTGTGTGTCTCGGAGATTTGTGTCCTTTCTGCCTGGACAAAATTCTTGTTACATTTGTACAGAGTATCCTAGCTGAAAGAGGTCACCTAAATATTTCTTTTCTTTTTAATGATATGGGAAATGTTTAAAGCAAAATTTGAATGCTTTGGAAAGAGGAATACCGTGGCAGAAAACATTAAGGTCTTTTTCCGTGTTTTTCGAGCTCACCGGTATTTTGTATCAGGATTGCATATATTCTATTCTATTATGTTTTGTAACAGATGATAAAATACAACACAGTATGCTTGCATTGTAACCTTCAGATGACCTTGAATACTAAAGAATTTCAATAAAAATTAATCTTAATTAGGTACATAATATATATGTGTACTAGCTGCGTATTGCTTGATGTGTTTTTCGAGACATAGATCGGTTCTCACAAAAATTAGACCCATAAATAGGGAGAGGAGACATTCGTCGTTACGTGATTCTTAAAATCAACAATTGGCCTCATTCCAGGGTACACGATCGATAAAATTTATAGAATTTCAACATGTATTGTAGCTAGTTAGCAGAGATGTGTGACTAACTCAAAAGTAAACTTTCATCGCAAGCGGTGAAAATTCCATAAATACAAACTAAACAATAGTAATAACAAAAATTCCTGAGTTTAACAATGACTGGTATATTTAATAGTAGTGAAGAATTTACAGCACACAAAAGTTTAATGTCAAGAGTGTTACATGAAAACGAACGTGAAAAGAAGACATAGACGTTATTTATAATTCAACACAATAGAAATCACCCGACTTGCTGATCCTCTCGCAGTACATGAGTATAAACGGTTTCCATACTCTTATGACTGGCAATCATCAAGAACTCTCAATACAACAACGCAAACAAACTGTATGCAATTTTTTAAATTTCTTCATTTCCTGTAAGCCTTAGAGTGTTGCTTTTATCCTGCAAATGTGCATGTCAGCAAATGTCTCAAAAATGTCACGTATAGTCGACAAATACGAAATACAGAAAATGTAGATTACACACTGATCACAGTAGCTGAACTATGAACCTTATCTACTCAGAATCAGTTTATGGCCAACAGCTGCAAGCAATCAAAAAGTTTACATGTGCAGAAACACATTTGTACGACCTATCATCATTTCCTCTGAGCAAGTTTAGCTACTTCTTTACAGTATTTCTCTACTTTAATGATACATTTCCTTCTGCCTAACAGTAAGTTAGGTAGTGGTTTTTCAAAATGAAAAAAGTTTTTATAAGCGAACTTTTGTGAAAGTACAATCTCAAATTTCTGGTGACCACGTGTTGTAGATAATATCTTCAGAACGTATTTATGGTTCTTAGGTAAGATTTCCACACTGTGACTAAAGTATCGGCAAAAACACCAAAATTGAGATAAGGGGAGACTCCTTTGGGGCCAACTCCGAATCGATCGAAGCGCTAATGTAAACAATCGGACGGTAGCGAAAACACACAATCTATAAATGGGACAGCTTGATAATACGACATATAACAGCAGTACCTACAAATAAATTTTGTTCCTTGTTACCATCAAGCTGGGTTTGTGTATTTCCTACGCGAAGACAGTGTTGCCGAACCGTACCGATTTTTCTTACGTTGTTGCCTCATGTCCCGTATTACAATTCTGCCCATTAGGAGAACGATAAAATACCTACCTACGGCTCGTGGCGAAATTTCGATTCTTACTGAACGTAGGAAAAGAATGGCGCGACCGAGAGAGATTCGAGAATGAAACAATACTTACATACTAATGTATGCAACAATAAACTTTTTCTATTCGTACTTGCAATGATGCTTATTTCTTTAATCAATGGAATTACATACGAAATACTTGAAATAATTTTCCCAAGAAACAAATTGTAACAATGACACAACATATATTCCGGGTATTCCAAATACAAAAAACATGGAATACTGTACAAATCTGCTGTTTGAAATGATGTCTATTTATCTTTTATTGACATAATTGATATGGGTATTATATGTGTACACATATATTTCGTACAAATGACGTACAAAGAACATTGAATGGACAAATTTATTCGAAAAGCATTTAGTTATTTAGCTATTTTTTTGTGCAAAATAGTTCGGAAGGTCATTAGAAATGAAATGTATATGTTTAAAACTCGGGAAATGTTGTGGGGAACATTGTTAGAAAAATTTGAAAGTGTGTGAAAAACATGCTTTTCGCGCGTAGAAGAAAATATAATCATTTCAGAGAAAAAAGGGTCAAATAAAACATGTAGGTATTTTTAATACCTACAAACTGAGGTATAGTACGTTAAAATCG